CGGGGATTACAATTGAGATGGAAAAAAAAAATGTACAAAATGATGTAAAAATAAACTTTTGTAATAAAAAAAAAAAAGAAGAGCCAGAGCTGCAGTCAGTTATGGGCCAGTCTCTGGCATCCATCAGCTGCCACTGGTCTGAAACCGCCCAAAGCTGACTCTTTTCACTTGTGTGTTCTTACATGTATGTATGGTCCCTGTTTGAACGACAGTGGGGGTGTGAACATGTGGGTGTAAGAAGGTGTGTGAAGTGTATGTGGCATGGGTGATCGGGTGTATGGGTACTCTGAGTGTGTGTAAGGACATGTGGTGGGGCCTGTAGTGTATGGCCATGGCAGAGATGGTGTGAGGACAGGTCCAAGGGACAGGAGCCCAGGGACCTGTTTGCAGTCCTGGAGATTGGAAAGCAACACAGTTCACACTTTGCTGCCAGTTATTTTAGATGGAATTTTCACAATGACCATATACTACCCTCACAACAAGGGCCAGACCCTATTTCCTGTGGGAATACGTGGGAAGGGTATGTCTGGAGAAGGCCCAACCTCCCCTCCACATTCTCAGCACGCGTCTCCTCTGTGAACAAGACCCTCCCTGGGGCCATGTGTCCTTGTTCATCCAGGCAGCCAGCAGTTCCAGCCTCAAAGCCCACTGAGGCCAGAGGCCCCCCGCAAGGGAGCACTTGACTCATAAGGATAGGAGGCTGCAGGGCCCCTCCCAGGACACCCTCTGGTCTCCTTCACATCCCCAAGGCATGATGGACTTGCCTTTGTCTACAATCCCAAGAGGCCCCAAACACAGGGATGGGAAGGACTGTGAAACTAGACGTTTCGCTGCAGGCCTCAGCTGTGAGCTCTTAACTACAGATGACACTGATGGGTCCTAAGTGCCAGTCTGTTTCAGGGTACACTGCCAAATGGGTTCTCAGCAGAGTTCTCAGCTGTGTACATATATACAAGCCATTTAACCCTCACAGCACATCAGTGCAGAAGAATAAATAATCCTGTGCTCCTAATCAGGAAACTGAGGTTCAGGGTCCCCAGGTGGTTGGTGCCAGAGCGGGGACCTAGGCCAGGCAGCCTGGCTGTCGCCTGCGCACTTCACCACTACACCAAAAACCTCAGTGATGACCATGCAGGTTTGTAAATATGAAAGTAAGCAAAGGTCTGCCATCCCTCATCTGTAACTCTGAAATCCAAAATGTCTCCAAGAACCAAATTTTCTTCCTGACTTTGGCATTAAAACCTGACCTAGGCCCTCCCTGGTGGTGCAGCGGGTTAAAGCACTGCACTAAGAAGCTGAAACCACTTCTGCATGAGTTCGATTCCCGCCTGCCCCGGAGGTGACCACATGGTGTGGCAGACCTCTCCTGACCCGCCCACTGCTCCCCTCAGCAGTGTACTTCGTCGATCTGCCTGTTCTGCTCCTTACTCTGTCTCTGGTGAAGCCTCTCACCGCCCCTGAGCCTCTGGCCTGTACCCCAGCTCTGTATGCACAAATAAATAAATCTTAAAAAAAAAAAAAAAAAAAAAACCTGACCTAAAGTAAAGTTAGATTATTTGTACTCTTTACTTCCTCTAGTATACCTTTCTGTAATTTTACTAGGAACGCTGATATATTTGATTATGAAAAGTCAAACACATCCCTCACAGAATGTGACATAATATTCAGTCTCTCTCTAACGACTAACTTTCTAAAGGCAAAGAAATCTAAATTCTGAAATAAACCTGACCCCAAGGGTTGTGCATAAATAACTGTGGACCTGTATTAATAAGATTTCATAGTAATAAATGTATGTTTTTTAAAGATTTATTTATGCATACAAGAACTGGGATACAGGCCAGAGGTGCAAGGGGTGAGAGGATTCACCGGAGACAGAGTGGGGAGCAGAACAGGCATAGTGGCTGAAATAAACTGCTGAGGGAAGCAGTGGGTAGGTCAGGAGAGGTCTGCTGTGCCATGTGGGTCAGCTCCCTAGCAGGGGATCGAACTTGTGCTGTAGGGGCTCTGGATAGCTTCATAGAACTGCATCTTAACCCCTGTACCACCAGGGAGGCCCCTAAATGTATTTTATTTGTACAGTTGTCTGCTTATATGTTGAGACAGGCAAGTCGGAGTGTAAGGTGGGTCTGACTGCCCCCCCCCCAAAGGTACAGATGCCGAGGTGTACCCTCTGAGCAAACAGCCCTGGATGCACTTAGGGCTTCCCCAGGAAAGGGTGGGAGTTTAGAGCTTTGGAGAGAAGCAGATTGAAGGAGGCTCCTGGCCAGCCAGTCTCACCTCACACCAGTAGAGCATATCGCTTTTCTGTTCCCCACCCCTATAAGACTTCAGTCTGTTTTAGACCTTCCCTTCAGTCTGTTTTGGACCTCTGTTGACCTTAACGATAACCACCCCCAGCACAGGCCCTGCCCAGGAGGCACAGACCGTAGCCTAACTGCTTGCATGATTTCTTTGATGGCAGGGGATTGTTCAGGGAGTCTTAGGAGGGCCTGGGACTGGAAGTTCCCTGGGCACTGCAAGCTGGCCACAACTGGTTTAGTGTGAGTTCAATTCCCACAGCAGAGGTGAGCCACATGGTGTGGCAGACCTCTCCTGACCCACCCGCTGCTCCCCTCAGCAGTGTACTTTATCAGTATGCCCGTTCTGCTCCCTGCTTGGCTCTGGTGAATCCTCTCACGGCCCCTACACCTCTGGCTTGTACCCCAGGTCTGTATGAATAAAATAAATAAATCTTTTAAAGAAGAAAGAAAAGAGAGAATTCTCCCAAGCACCTGAAGGAGCTTAAGAAACAACAACAACTCGAAGTGGATTAAAGACCTAGACATAAGAGTGGAAACCATAAAATATCTGGAAGCAAAGATGGGCAAAACATTACATTACATCCACCTCAGTAACATCTTTAAAGATACAGAACCCAACGCAAGGATAGTGAAGAAAAGGATAAACAGATAGGACTATATCAAGTTAAAGAGCTTCTGTACAGCAAAAGTGACATTACAAAAACAAACAGACATCCCACAATATGATTGGGAAAAAATTTTCTCAAACAATACTGATAAAGGGTTGATCACAAAGATATACAAAGAACTGATGAAACTCAACAAAAATAAAGTAAACCCCATCCAAAAATGGGCACAAGAGCTAAAAAGACACTTCTCTAAAAAGGAAATGCAGATGTCCAACAAGCATATAAAAAAATGTTCAACATCACCTGTAATAAGGGAGATGCAAATTAAAACCACAATGAGATACCACCTCACACCAATGAGAATGGCACATCTTAAAACAACTAGCAACACAAATGTTGGTGAGGATGTAGAGAAAAAGGAACTCTCCTGCACTGCTGGTGGGAATGCAAACTTGTACAACCACTATGGAAAACTGTCTGGAGGTTCCTCAAACTGATAAAAATGGAGCTTCCATATGACCCAGCAATCCCACTTCTACATATCTACCCAAAAGACACAAAAACACTGATTCAAAAAACACCTGCACCACCTTGTTTATTATCGCTTTATTTACAATAGGAAAGACATGGAATCAACCCAAATGCCCAAAAGTAGGTGACTGGATCAAAAAGATATGGTACATATACACAATAGGATATTACTTAGCAATCAAAAAAAATAAACTCATGCCTTTTGCAGCAACATGATGGAGCTGGAAGGGATCTTAGTGAAATAAGCCAGAAAGAAAAAGAAAATATCAGATGGTTTCACTCATAACAGGAGCATGGGGGGTGGGAGTGGGGACGGAATGGGAAATACCAGAGACATTTTAGGGGGGTATAGTGGGGAATGGGATCAAAATGGGGAGGGGAGGTTGAGAGGAAGTGCACCGGACTATGGTGATAGCACACGGGTGAATTGGTGATGGGAAGTCCACGGGGATTGCAGCTGAGATGGGAAAAGGTACAAAATTATGTAAAGGTATTATAATTTTTTTAACTGTACAAAAAATTTTAAAAGTGCAAGCAAAAAATACATACAGTGAACAGTTATACAATTGCTATGAAGCAAAGCATGAGTTCCTAAGAAAGAAATACACAAGGATCTAATTTATTTTATAATGATTAATGTCCTCAGGAAAATAATGGATTTTAATCAAAGGTATGTGAATGGACCCTTTGACGGAGAAAGAAAGGTGTTGTTTTGAAATAAAGGTAACAAAGGACACAAAAACACTAATTCCATAGGAAACCTGTACTCTTACATTAATCGCAGCACTATTTACAATAGCCAAGACAGGGACACAACCCAAATTCCCTCAAATAGATGAGATTATGCTAGTCAAAGGAAAAGCAGAAGGAAAATGATGATAGATAGACAGACAGACAGGCAGACAGATAAGTAAGTTGTTAGGTACACGTTCATAATAGGTGAGTGGTCAGTGAATGATACTGAGTAAAAGGTCTCCAGAAATTGGTCTAGGGCATGCTGAGTATGAGACTGCCATAAAATTAGTGGCAGGTAAGATCAGGGACAGGAGATCAAGGCTCTGGGAAGAGGGAGGAAGGACGGGGAAGAGAATGTGAGGGAGAGAAACGAACTGGTTTGAAGAGAAAAATTGTACTCAATTTCCCACAGGAACTACCCAGACCTCTCGTCACTCAGCGCAGCCGCGAAACTTAATCCCACCTATTTCCCACAGAGCACGCTCCCGAGAGAAGCCCGGGCCAAGTCCTCCAAACCACAAAGGCATCTGCCTAGAAGGGCCCGCGCAAATCAGGGCTTAGCCACCCACCGCCTTCGGCCGCTTTTCCAGAGTGGGCCGCCGGACAATCTGTGTTTGGTCAGTTAGAGCGGCGTTCGCACCTCTCGGGTGATTTTCTCGCTACCTCCGTTCATTCTCACCAGTGTTGCCTACTTGGAAAAGCCGGTGGGTCGCAGGGGCCCCCGGCTGGCGCGTTCCCTGGAGCACCATCGAGATGTGGTCCTCCATCAGCCTAGCCCACCCGCGGCGGCGTGGGCCAGTGGCTACGTCATGTTTTGTCGCCCGGGGCGGGTGAGTAGTGCCGGCTTCTGAGGGGAGCTCGGCTAAGTCCAATTAATCGTGAGAGAGACGAACAGTTTGACTCGGTGTGATCGAGATTAGCACGTAGAGTCCCGAAAGGTAGTGGGGGCTGCCTGGTTCTGCCCCCGCTGCCCTCGGAGGGCGGCTATTGAGTCCAGAGTGCAGCCTTCGTGCCTTGAAGTGGGAAGAGGCTAAGAGGGGAATACAGGCTTCTCCGCGACCCTGAGGTGAAAGAGCAGAATTGAGGCCAGCTGTGGGGCACCAGCGTAGCTTGCAGACAGGCTTGCGGGAGCGACCCCAGCTCCTCAGCAAAGCGCTGACGCGCCTACAACCCGCGGGCCGCGCATTAAGATGGCAGGCTATGCCAGTACGCCTAGCCCCTTGCAGACCCTTCATGAGGAAGCGGTGTGCGCCATCTGCCTGGATTACTTCAAGGATCCCGTGTCTATCAGCTGTGGGCACAACTTTTGTCGAGGGTGCGTGACCCAGCTGTGGGGCAAGGAAGATGACGATAGGGCAGAAGAGGAAGATGAATGGGAGGGGGAGGACGATGACGACGACGACGACGACGACGACGACGACGATGCCGGGGGAGCCATAGGTGGATGGGACAACTCCATTCGAGAGGTTTTGTACCAAGGGGATGCTGACGAAAACTTGTTCCAGTATCAAGAGGATGATGACCTCTGGGTCGGTGGCGGTGGCGTGAGGAATTGGGACACGGACTATGTGTGGGACCAAGAGGAAGACGAAGAGGAAGACCAGGACTATTACCTGGGAGGCTTGAGACATGACCTGAGAATTGATGTCTACCCGGAAGAACAGGTGTTAGAAGATTACGACGAGGACGTTGAAGAGCTGTATCCCGACACCCACCTGCCGCCTACCCGGACCCCTCCACGCCAATTTACTTGCCCCCAGTGCCGAAAGAGCTTTACACGTCGGAGCTTTCGTCCCAATTTGCAGCTGGCCAACATGGTCCAAATAATTCGCCAGATGTGCCCCATTCCTTATCGAGGGAGCCGTGGGAACGATCAGGGCATCTGCTCCAAACACCAGGAAGCCCTGAAGCTCTTCTGTGAGGTGGACAAAGAGGCCATCTGTGTGGTGTGCCGAGAATCCCGGAGCCACAAACAGCACAGTGTGGTGCCAATGGAAGAGGCTCTGCTAGAGCACAAGGTGAGAGGCAAAGGGAGGGTATATGAAGGTTAGGAGATCTTGGAGAGGAAGGGGGTGGAGGGCCTGTGAAATGGCTGCATTCTTTTCCTACCTCCTCAGGTGCCTGCTAGTTGAACCTCTTGGGTTTTTTGTCGGGAAAAATGGACAAAGGAGACACTGGCTAAGGCAGATTGGTTTCCCCAGAAGCAGCAAAGATATGACAAGACATGACAGTGAGGGGAGGTACCAGTGTTGACAGTTCCCTTTTAAAGTACCAAGTTTGAGGGGCAGGTCCTTGTGCTTAATTGCCCCCTAGTGTAAGTCCTTAGGCTATACCTGACCAAGATTCAGCACCCTTCACACATAAGAATGGAAAGCCATAGTGCTCTCAGACGTTTGGGATCTCAGAGCACGAGCAGCATCAGAACAGATGACTGGTTATTGGTAGACCAAAAGGGCAAGTGTGACGTCTATGTTGAGAGCAACTAGCTATACACCCCTCCCAAAAGCTGGGATTGCTTTCCCAGCGTCAGTAAGGTCCATTTCACCTAAAGAGACAGGCAGAAGACATAAACATCTTGAGTGGATCAGAATAAACCTTATCCCTGATCACTTTCCTTTCCAGGTATTTTAGCATAATGGAAGAGGGATTTAGAATCAAGTGAGCTGGCTCCGCAACTTACTGTCTAATCTTAGGCAGGTCTCAAGCCCTTAGCTTTATTTTTCTTAATAAGCCCTTAGCTTATTAAGATTAACAGAGATATGTATGTGGAAGTGTTTTTTTTTTTTTTTTATAAACTATAAAGCACTAAACAGATGTTTGCTTTTTTATTTTGCTTTCCTCTCATTGGTCTTCCCTTCCGATTTGGATAATGCTGTTCTGAGCACTAGAAAATTGTCTCAATTGGCAGAATGAATATTGTCTCCCTTACCTTCCCTACACAAAAGAAATGTGATTCCTTGCAGTACCCAAGGAAAGAGAGGTTGTCTTCAGGCCCATAAAATCTTAACCTGGATATTCAGTAACAGCTAGTTACATCTTATTAGTGCTTTACAGTTTATAACTGTACTTCCTTGGGTTCTCCTACAGTAGTGATTTTCAAACTATGGGTTTTGACCATTTGGTAGATCTAGTCATGTCCAATATTATTTTAAAATGAAATAGAAAATATCCCACTACATGGAGCATAATAAAGGTAAGTATTATTTTATGAAACTTTAAGTTAAAAATATATTGCTTCAACTGAGTTGTAGTCAAAACACAGAACACTGTCCTGAAGGATCATATATTAAGCATTATAGTCACCCCCCATTTTACAGTAACTGTTAAGTGTACAGTTAAGACACAGTCTTAATTACAAATCACTGCTAATTCCATCATACTAACCTGACATTAAGGGTAAACCCCAGTACCTACCAAGTCCATCGCACCAAGGTAGGAATACAATGTGCCCATAGGAAAAACTATTTCCTATGTTTGTGATCTTTTGTACAGTGAAGTTAAGGAAAGGAATCCACCTTTCCTCTGCTAGAATGTTCTGGGGAAAAAAATCTTTTATTTTCAAAGATCAGAACTTAGGTAGCTGGTATGGCCAAAGGTAGGAACTACATTGAAGAGGTAAAAGTAATTGATATTCTTTCATTCTTTATATTGTTCAGTTGTGTTAATTTTGATGGAAAAACACACATTATAGTTAGAATTTTACTGAACAAGACTTATAATTATTATAGGGAACAGTTTTGGTATAAAGGCTTATTTAATGTTATATATTATCCATCACAGTTCACTTGCGACAGTGAATTCTCTCTTGTTAGCTACTGATTAAATGTGACTTTATTTATTTTGGAGGTGATAAAGCTTTATAGTTTTCAGTACCGGAACTCGAGTAAGTCTGAATTTCAGGAGTAGGAGAAAAAGGCATTCACTCCCTCCCTACTCAAATTATGCCAGTATTGCAGAGTATGAGGAGAGTTGCAGCTTATAAAACAATATTTAGTGTTGTAATGTTAAAATGAATATTTCATTTTTTATAATATTAGAAATAAAATTGAAAGGAACTACTTGTCTGGTGAGAATATAATGACAGAACAAGAAGCATTCAGAATAAGGCCTCAGATTAATGACATATATGACAGGTTGGGTAGTCACAGCAGATGTTCACTGTAGATATGCTGCCATTTATAACTCAGTTATATTGTTCTGAGGTCAATGTTCTTTTTTTAAGTTTAACTTTGTATAGAAAAAGGTTTGTTAGCCCTGAAAAAGCTTACTTATTTATATCTTCCATTTTTCCATCCCATGAGTTAGAGTTCGTCTTGACTCTTCAAGCTAGAATCAGAGGATTATGAAAGTAAGATCATTTAGATTTGACCAAGGGCACCACTAAGTGGTTTTAGGCGGCAGACGGGTGTATAAAAAGAAAATGAACAAAGATTTCACTTATTTGGGCTCAGGCCTAACTAGATGCCTGTATTTCCCTGCCACCCACCTGCCGTCAAAAAAATCATTCATCGTTCTGCAAGAGAGACCAGATGCTTCCAACATCAGTACTCCTTGATTTTGTTTTCTCCGTTGAGGTAGTAAAAGATGACAGCAAAAAAAAAAAATTTGTTTCTTGAGGCTTTTAACAAGTATATATTCATGTTATGGTGCAGAAGATAGGGGTCACCTTCTTCAGTTGTGTTATCTGAATGTGTTGGGCAGTGACACCATGCTGAACACTTAAATTTACAACATTAAAACAGTGGAGTATTCTGCAAAGCACAAATTCTCTGGAGCTTTATGATTGGACAGTATTGGAATGTTAACAGGAATCTGCAAAGGCCATGAATGATTATTAATATTAAATAGCCCTTTTAATTGCAAAGGAGAAAAAAAAGGAGAAACTTGTGAAACCCTGCATTCCAAGTGCTGCCGCAACTTTGAGGGGAAATTGAGGAATTCCGGAATTTCTTCATCTGCTGCAATAACTTTGAATTGATGACTGAGCATCTCAGACTTCGGGTTTTAAGAGACATCAGCTCATCATTCTTTGCTGACGGACAAGATTGTGCTTTGTTTAGGTTCAAAATAAGGCTTTAAAAACTATGGGTGTGCTGTTTTCACTAGCCTAGAACTTGACCACTAAAAGTAATATACTTGAAGCTGTATCAAAATGAACTGAATTGGAGGGAGAAATTACAGGAGTGTTGAAATTACAGGAGTATATATTTTGGTGCTACAGCAACACCATGTTTTTAGATGTGGGTTTTGGCAAAAATTGACATTCAAGATGTACCACAGCAGTCACCACCAAATATAAATGTCTATGGACCTGCCATAATCTTCAGCCTTACTGTTACCATAGACCATTTACACTTGATTCCAGTATACCTTGTTGTTTTTGAAGATCTGGATGTCATTCAGGAGTGTTTTCTGTTACATACTGAGGTTCCTTAGTTGTCAAAAATCTGTATTCAGCTGCACTTAGATATATAACAATTGTGATTTTGGAACACCAACAAAAAACAAAACCATCAAAATTTAATTTCAAAAATTAAAACTTTCAGCAGAATGTAACACACTGTAACTTATAATACACTGACCCTCAAATGTCAAGGGGCAAAAACACTAACATCACTGCTTACTATTAAATGCTTTCAGCAAAACTGCAACCTCAGAGAGCAAATTTGCGCTTGAAATGTCTAATTTTCTTGGTTGATCTTTCAAAAACTAGATTCATGAGTGTTAATTTAAGAAAAACTGAAGTATCTGCAGCTATTTTGGATAATGTGTTCTTGACCTTGTTGAAACCGACTTCTTGTAGCTTTGGGGAATAATGTTTCACACTGATATTCAGTCTTCCTTAGGAGAATGTCAGTAGGAGTTTGGGAACTCACAGCCTGTTTTTGACTGGAAATGTTCAGATAAATACTCTTAAAAAAAAAAAAGGATGTAAAATTCTTAACAGATAGAAGGCTTTATTCCATTTATTATTCTATTTTCTCTTTATATCTCTCCTTCCCCCAAGAAAACCATGAGTGTTATAAAAGCAGCTTGTGTTTTGTTGCATCTTCTATTACCACCTGGGAAAGAAAAGTTAAGGGTTAACAATGACATTATTTTCACATCTGAATAAACTTTTCCTTCAAAATTACCATGCTTTTATTTTAGTCATAATACTTAATTTTGAAATTGTACACAATACCGAAGGAGAAAGAAATGCCCTGTGAAAGTTAGGGCCTCCCTGGTGGCCAGGGGTTAAGTCTCAGCATTATCACTACTGTGGCATGATTTTGATCCCCACCAAGGGAACTAACCCACATATGGCGCAGCAGGCCTCTCCTTTTCCACCCGCTGTTCCCCTTATCAGTGTATTTCATAAAATCCACTCTGTCTCTGGTGAATCAACACACACACACACACATGCACCCCTGCTCTTCTATGTAAAAATAAATAAAATCTTTATTTTTTTTTAAAAAAGGTTATCAGGCCCTTAGTGGTGGCACAAAGGGTTAAAGCGCAGCTCTATGAAGCTACTCTCAGCCACTGCAGCACTAGTGAGATCCCTGGTCAGGGAGCAGACCTCTCCTGTCTTACCCGCTGCTCTCCTTAGCAGTGTGTTTCAGTAAATCCACCTGTTCTGCTCCCCACTGTCTTTGGTGAATCCTCTCACCCCCCACATTTCTGGCCTGTACCGGTTCTTATGCACATAAATAAATAAAATCTCTCATAAAATATTATCCTGTAATAGTAAAGCTATTCCACTTTTTGACTGATGAGATTATAAAAACAGGAGTCAGGGATATTAGCCCACTATACCAAATCTAAAAGTATTTTTATGCAATAGTGAAAATGCTCTAAATCTGTACTTTTTCAATAATACCAATACCACTAGTTATACTGATATATGACTTTTGAACTCTTAAATATAGCCAGTGCAACTAGAGATGGGATTTTTTAATAGTATTTAATTTTAATTTAAAAGTCCTACATGGCTAGTAGCTAGCCATACTGAAATGCAGTAGTTCGATAAAAAGAAGGCAGGTTGAATTCTGGTCATGGGGACCAAGGGCCTCTCTGGTGGCCTTAGGTGTAAATCTTAGCACTATCACTGTTACAGCCGGAGTTTGATCACTAGCAAGGGAGCTAACCCATGTGTGGCATAGCAGACCTCACCTGTCTTGCCTTCTGCTCCCCTCAACAGTGTATTTCAGTAGATGCACCTGTTCTCCTACCCACTATGTCTTTAGTGAATCTTCTACCCCACCCCACACACACACACACCTCTGGCCTACACCGAAGTTCTTTAATGCATAATTAATTCTTTTTTAAAAAAGAGGGGAAATGAAAAAGTGAGACAACTTTCTTGTCCCAGTCAGGAGAGGGGGGCAGAAAGTTTTGTTTTTGGCATAAAAGGGGAAAAGACTTAAAAGGAGCATTGTATTTTTAAAAAATGTGACAAAGATGGCCTTGACCCAGTTTCACTTGTGATCTGTATGAATCATGTGGCAGATGTGACGGGAAAATGGAAAGTAGCTAAAAACTAAACAGTACTGATGGTAGTTTTTGGAGTTTAGGGTCCTTGAGTTCACTCTGGGAATGGTTTCACCAGAGCTTCCCTTTAGCGGAACATGGTGAATTTCTCCACAAAACAAAGACTCAGTAATATTTAAAGAGTAATAAGTTTATTAGAAAGAGCCAGGAAAGGAAAAGACTTGCAAGGCACAAGTGGGTAGGAAGAGCTCCCCCTTTACGGGGGTAGTATTGGTTTTATCTTCTTTTGATAGGGAGGGACCCATCCTTGCTATCAGCCAGTTGCTGATTTAAATTATGCAGAACTTGAGGTTCCCAAATGAGCTTCATCTCCATGTCCTTATCTTTTACCTTTTCTGTCTGAGCCTTTGACACAGCCCCCAACAGTCTGTTATCTGCTGGGACCTTCAACCAATCTCCCAGCATCGGGCACCTGAGGACCTTGATTTTGTGCTATGTTAAGGATCTTGATTTTTATGGCTATGTTAATTGCTATGCTAGCCCCTTTTACCCATACCCCTTATGTGAATCAATCTTGTGATGCCCCCCTGCATTCCTTCCTCCATCAGTACTACTTCTAAAAAAGAGCTGGGACTAAGGCCTCAAAATAAAGATACAAATATAAGTATGGTTTTAATTGATGCATGAAATTGAAATATTAGGTAAAACCTGATATTAAAGCAGGTGAGTTCTTCTATTTATTTATTTGTCTTTCAAAATATTTTGATTTATTTCTCTTTCAAACTAAATCCTGACAGGGTGGTGAGGAGGTCTTGGAGTTCTAAAAGGTAATCAGTTTGTGTTGGTATTTTTGATGAAAGAATTGTGGGAATAAAAGGGCTAAAGAGGAGACCATGAGAGCTAAAGGTGATACATTTAACTTTTAATGTTAATTTGTCCACAAACTGAAGTACTCGGGTACTGTATGAGAATCATATTGCATGTAATAAGTGTAAGAGGAAATGTGACACTTCTGTTAACTGAAGGCCTGCAAAGAAGGAAGAAAATGGCCCTCTAAGTTACTACTTTTATCTCCACCTCCTCCCATCCTTTCATAGTAGGAGAAAATGAACACCTCAGGGATATGCATTAGAAATAGCCTTAAAGAATACCATCCTACCTACTGAAGTTCATGCTAAGTTCTTTCTAGCATTTGTGTTTAATTCTAAAGAACTAGGACCCAAAGCTGTTGAGTTGTCTTGACAATTCCACTTGGCACTAGCAGCAGGACCTGACAAAGATGAAGAGGGCCAGGTAGTCTGGAAATGGAACTCCAAGGACACAACCCACCTTTTATCTGCCATTTTCTAGGCACATAGAATACAAAGTCCTTCCTCCCCCTTCAGCAAAGGTTGGTTTCTCAACAGGTGGTAAACTCAAGTGTGACTAAGGAAGATTTCCTTAGCTCTCATTTTGTGGTGAGCTAGTCAGCCTTGACCTTGCATTCCAGCATAATTTCCCAGACCTATTTCATATGAAATTCTTTCTTTTGATCACCTTTTGTTTCTCCTAATACTTTAAATCCATTAGGAAGGCCAGAAGCTTGCCTTCTACTGGCATTTCATAGTCTTGCTTAGACCATACCTACTTCTACAGCTTTAGGCAGACACAACAGAATGCCTTGGCAACTTTTAGAGGACTATTAGACTTCAGATTTTTGCCTAAGGTGGATACTGAATTTGTTGTTTTTTCTTTTTTTTTAAATATTTATTTATTCATACAGAACTGGGGTACAGGCCAGAGATGTGGAAGGTGAGAGGATTCATCAGGGACAGAGTGGAAAGGCAGTACACTGCTGAGGGGAGCCGCGGGCGGGTCAGGAGAGGTCTGCCTTGCCATGTGGATCTCCTCAGGGGCAGGCGGGGATGGAACTCTATGCGGAAGTGGCTTAAGCTTCTTAGTGCAGTGCTTTAACCAGCTGCACCAGCAGGGAGGACCCTGAATTTGTTTTTAAGATTTATTTATTTATTCATACAGGACTGGAGTACAAGGCCGTGACAGACTTCACTAGAGATAGAGTGGGGAGAAGAAGAGGTAGACTGATGAAGTACACTACTGAGGGGAGCAGCGGGCAGGTCAGGAGAGGTCTGCATGCCATGTGGATCACCTCCATGGTTGGGGATCGAACTCGCACTGAAGCGGCTGCAGCTAGCTTGCGGTGCTGCATCCTAACTCATTGCTCCACCAGGGAGGAACTTGTGGATACTGAATTTTTATACATTAATATGCAAATGATTTCTTGTAAGACCTGTGCCTAGAATTGATTAAATACTACACCCAACCTAATAGGAATGGGATAGAACCTATAATTATATTCTCATGTTTCCTTCTAATTTTTTTGAAATTAATTCTCTAGGCCTCAATCATTTAGCTTCTGTATACAGCACCCAATACTAGACTCCAGAGTGAAGAAGGTGATAATGGGGTTGAAAGAAATTACAATACCTCACTCAATAAGGTCTTTGGTAAGTCCTCATCACTCCCTTCTGGGGATGACTCTCATGAGCCTCCTAGAGACCCTCCTGGTCCAGCTTCTGAACTTTTCTAGTAGTATTCTTCCAACTTATCCATTAGATAAATCAGGAGGGATAAGATCTACATTCAAGACTGTGCCCTAGGCTTTAGGACAAAACAATTCCAATTCCTAGGCATTGGTTCCGTTCTGCTTGCTCTCCTACCTTCCTACTTAAAGCCACCCCATTAAGCTTCAGCATTCAAATTACTTATATACCTCTTCCCTATGCTGAACCCTCTCTCTGGAATGCCCTCCCTTTAATGTGCCCTCTTAATAATAATATAAAAGCCCATGAGGATGCCCACCAAAGTTGGAATCTTTCACACACCAAACCCTCCATCAGATGCAGGGAATGCATCATGTGAACAGAAACAGATTAGTCTACATCTTCAGTGCACTCAGAAGAATAATGAGGTTTTCAGATTGAGCTAAATACTAAAAAGGCCCAATACATATTCCACCATATTTCTATCATGAAACAAAGGAGCCTGATCTATTCTGAGGGATGGATTCCCTGACATGGCAACCTAAGCTGAGACCAACGGAAGTTTAGATTTAACTAAGAAAAAGAGTGGGAAATGTAGGCCTTTCAGGCAGAACACAATGTGTGTTCTGTGTAGGAGAAAACTGATGAGTAGGAGGAGCATTGTAGCCACAAAAACAGTATGGAACATGCCATACTGAACCTGCAGGAGGACAATGTTTTGGTGCTATCTTAAGGTGTAAAGGGAAGCACATGCTCAGAGCTTTAACCACCTGTCAGGCCCTCTTCTGACCACACCTTTCCCATAGCCCTTCACCTACTGCCTACAAAGTATTCAGGGGGAGACCTGTCTTTCACAAGTCATGAATGCTATGGGTGAGGATGGAGGTCTCTGCTCCTATAGAAGAGGTTGCAGGCCAGTGGCAGAGAAGCCTAAAGGAGTCTTCCCATTTGTGCGGGTCCTGTGGGCTCCCTTCAGAAAAAGAATGGTGAGACAGACTTCCTTAGAAGATCCTCTCTATTTCTCCCTTTTCTTAGCTTCTGTGGGATGGAGGTGGTACCTGTGGGGATAAGCAGAAGACAGGGAAGCCAGGAAGCTAGAAGTAGGTAAGATCCAGGTCTGGTTTTGCCTACATGGCAGGGACAGTCCAGAACAGGAAGAAAGTTCTGCTATGAACTTCAAAAGGCTGGTCAGCATCTCCAGTGGACATCTCCTCAGTAAGGATGGAGAAAAAGCACTTTGTGTGAGAAGATAACCAGAGGCCTAACCCATACAGGAGTAAGTGGGCTTGTGGACATTGTGTGGTTTATCTCAGTCACTTCACTCCCACTGGAAAGGAACTGGGCTCCCTTTGCTGACTGAGAATGAATCCACCAGTTACTCCTTGAGAGTTCAGGTGGGTTGATAATCCAGGCCAGGAGAGGTTCCTGATGGAAATAGGCTTGAACAGGACTCAAGTCCAGCTGGGACTAAGGAGGAAAGGGGCAACTCTTTCCTCTGCTTAGCCTGCCAGTATCCTCTACAAGATAGGAGTCTGGCTGGTAGTTGGAAGAAAACTGAAGTGAAAAACCTGAATTCCATAGGGTCTGAACAGCCAGTAAGTCCACTACATTCCACTCCCCCTCTGCTGGCATCTTCATCTTGATCCTGGTGGGCTCCAGGAAGAAAACCTGAATCCCTTCTCTCCTTCAGGTCCCATAGAAGGTAGAGGCACTGCCAGAATCAGAGTATGGGACCAGCATGTGGAGGGGGTTCACAAACCCATAGTAGGCTAAAAGCACCTGTTCTCACCAAGGCAGGTGAGGCAAGGTGGTCCAGGGGCAGAGCTAGCCTGGAAACAAACAGCTTCTGGAAAATGTCAGAGCAGGGAAGATCTTTCGAGTATTCTTTGAGAATGTGTGAGGGAATCCTGGCCCTCAGGGATGCTCACTCCATAGGGATTCCATATGCAAAGTCCATGCAACAGGGAGCCATTGAGATTTCATAAAGGAAAGATGTAATGTCCCTGGGTGATGTCTCTGAGGAATGGAGGATTAAGTCTTCTAGAGAGTGGAGAGGAAATCCTCTGCATGTGCAAGTCCACAGGAAGGGAAGCCTCAGGCAGCACATGTCTCAGTCTACACAGGCACACATTTCTCCATTTGTGCTTAGTACTCACAAGTGGGCAGTAACTTAGGTATGGGGGTACATGAAAGTAGGGAATATCTTATGACCACATTCTTGGGTCAGGGTAAAGCTCCTTGTTGGAAAAGCTAAGACAGCCATTTGGGAATACCAAGGAAGCAGGTGTTATAAAGGTCTGGGATCCTCACAGGATAATCATGAGGAGGGTCACAGCCAGGACAGCAATTTGAGCAGCACAAAGGCAGCTGTGGAGGAAGGCAGGGGAGTCTGCACCAAGAGCAGGTACTTCAAGGGAAAGATCCTAGACTTCTCCACATTCCAGAGCAGCCATAGCCTATGACTGCTTTGCCACTGTCTTTCACCAAACTTCGACCTGCCTTCCTATAGGCAGGTCTTCCAAGATGCACTTTCCAGTTCTTTTCCGCAAGCTGTGGAGGCCCTGTCATGCCCTGCCCCCACCGCCACTGCATTGTTGGGTCCTCAGCTTCTCCAATACTCCAGTCCAACTATCGCACCCTCCTCCCCTTCCTTCTACTCCTCTCCCCATACCTTATGGAGGTATATTCAATATTGCCCACAGGACTCTCAGATAAATTTAGTGTCTGCTTAATTCTCCTCCTCAACTCCATTCTCCTACCCAATCAAATGTAAGCTCAAAAAATAAAAATAAAAGGGGCCCATCTGTCTTGTTCACAAGCTATATTTTCAAGACCTAAAATGACATTCAAAAGATAAGCATGAAATGACTTGCCTCTACTTCTCTGCCAGACATTGTACTGGGTACTTCAGCCACTTTAACCCACTGAGGACTAATATTTCCAATCTCACGGGTGAGAAACTAAATATGCATTTTAAGCAAAGTTGGTATTTATGTATGTAACCCCCCTTTATTTTGCATAGATGATAGCAGATGCTATCATCTGAATCCCTGCCCCCTCCCTTAAAAAAAAAATTTGAGGGAGCTATAGTCTCCTACATTCAAGGGTTGTACATGGGTGGGAGACTACACATTCACACTCCCCACGGTTGTGGGAGACAGCAGCTAGGCAATGAAGTCCCTGCTTCCCTATCTGGGTGCACCTCCTTGGCCTGGATCGCCTTTCTGTGGAGTGGTGATGATGTTGGTTTTTTTGGAGTTCAGGGTCCTTGGGTTCACTCTGGGAAAGGTTTCATCAGAGCTCCCCTTTCAGCGGCACACGGCGAGATTCTTCACGAGACAGAGACTCAGTTAGTTATATTTAAAGAGGAAGTTTATTAGAAAGAGACAGGAGAGGAAAAGACACTTGCAGAGGTGCAAGTGGGCAGGGAGAGCTGCCCCAAAAAGGACGGTTTGCAGACAGAGACCTGATGGTAGCAGGCAGGTGGCCTTAGAAGAGCGGGCTCCACTGAGGGAGGTCAGTGCAGAGAAGTCCCAGCATGGTACAGGTCACGGGCAGGCAGGAGGCTGCTGCCCTGCAGAGGGGGAGAGTGGGTAGCAACAAGAACCTGCATAGGCACATGTGGGCAGAGGACTGCTGCCCCATGCTGGTGCAGAGACTGCCCTGCCATGGAGAGCTTCTCTTTGGGAGGGCCCACTCCTGTAAGGCTAGGTTTGTAGACTTTAATTAGAAAGACCAGTGATTCCCTAATGAGCTTCATCTCCCAGTCCTTATCTTTTACCTTTTGGGTCTGAGCTTCAGACACAGCCCCCAATACCCAATAGTCTGTTATCTGCTGGGACCACCACAGACATCCTGGCATCCAGGCTTTGGTGCCTGAGGACCTTGATTTTGTGGCTGTGTTAATTGCTAAGCTAGCCCCTTCTGTTATAGGGGAGGAAGAGAGGGACACCACTGAACCTCCAAATCTGCCTGCTCTAAATAGCTTCTGCCATCTGCCACATCAAGACAAAACATATAAGACTTTAATGAAAAGGGACTTTAATACAGTTGAGTATACAATACGGAAGACAATATAATTTCTAAATCAAACACCTGAAGTTACCCATCCCTTCTTGGGGAAAAGTCTGCCCCAAAGGGATTGGTCCAAAACAAGGCCTGAAAGCCCACTACAAGCTCTTCTGGCCAGGATCCATAGAAATGGGTTAGAAATGGCCAGACAAGTCTGGGAGGAAAAGAGCAAAATCAAAATCAGTATAAACACTGCCATAGTGAACCTCCGCACGGGTCTCTCACCTACATCACTTTCAACCAGTCCAGGGCCAAGAAACAAGCAGTTTCTTCACATGCTGCCTGCTCCACGTAGCTTCCTCAGGTCTTCTTCTGGCTCTCAGCCTGCTTCCTTCTTTTTTCCTCTGCTCAGCTCCACCCTCTTTCTGGGTGGGGCAGGGACCTTAGAACTTCCGCTTTTCCTGGGGACCACCCTATTGCTAAACTAGCCCCTTCTACCCATCCTCCTTATGTGAAATCAATATTGTGAGGCCCCCCTTGCATTCTTTCCTCCATCAGTTAAGTTAGCGTTTGACCAGGCTCTCCATAGCTTAACCGGGGAGGTCTTCCTCTCAGTCTTTCAGTTTCTGCCAACGCTCAGAGTTCTTGTCCAGCAGCGCGCATAACAATTTTTCTTTCATCCTGAGTTCCCAGTTCTATGATTCCAGCCAAGACCATGTCTTCCTGGAATTTAACTCTCCGCTAATACTATCAAAGCATAGCCTCCAGGTAGGAGCCGCCCTCTCCGTGTGGAAATGTTAGAGCTTAGTAGCTCAGAACACAGATTACTGGAAATGTTAGAGCTTAGTAACACAGATTACTGGAAATGTTAGAGCTTAGTAGCTCAGAACACAGATTACTGACAAAAAATTAATGCCGTATTTTTCATGCGGCCACGCCTTCACTCACAGTTGAAACCTCACTCTTGAGCTCCTTCTGCATTCCCCTCCAAGCCACAAGCGGAAGGGGCTGGGCTTGCTCTGTGCCTGTTAGGGGCGAGAAGCTGCTAGGTGAGCTTTATGGGGATGTCTGGTGTTCTTGCCCTCTTCCGCTTCTTAGATATCACACTCCAATCAACGTTGGAGAAGTCCTTTTAAAACTCGTTCATGTTGGTTTCAGAATTTTGTTGCTAAATGATGTGGTGTAGCTGAGAGGACCGTAACTGTTTTGTTATTTCACTTCGCCAGAGGTATTGCAGGGGGCCGCCATCTTGAGCAGACGTGAATCATGGGGGCCGCCATGTTGCTCGAGAAGACGGGTATTTCCGGTTCCGGCGGTGGGTTGGTCGTCCTTTTCTTCGACAGGGCCGCGGCGGGAGCGGCGGTGCAGTTCATCTCTCTGACCTATCCAAGTTCATCCTAGTCGCTGCGGCGACTACCGAAGCCTCCGTCGCAATGACTGAACAGATGACCCTTCGTGGAACCCTCAAGGGCCACAATGGTTGGGTAACTCAGATCGCCACCACTCCACAGTTTCCAGACATGATACTGTCTGCTTCGCGAGGTACGAACTGAGGTGCAGGGCCGAGAATGGAATGGTGGGGGGGTAGCGAGAGGCTTGCGCTAGTCTCGTGTCTGTACCTGTGCCGCGATTCATTGTACCTGGAAAATTCCGTCCAGTATGTGAGTTAGGGCCGCAGACCCATGCTTAGGCCTCATCCGGAGTGGGCCCGCGCGGCGTCCTCTCTGCAGACTTAGGGACAGATTAGCCCACGTCGACCGGGACTGTTGCGGATTTGGAGGCATTTTTAATCACTCACCTGCCTCCCTGCATGGTGTGCCGGGGAGCCCAAGAGTCGGGTGGAGCGGTGATGATCCCAACATGCCATCTGAGTGCCCATGCTGAGACCCAGAGGCTGTTTCTGAGCTGCCGCCCGGCCCTCTGCTCCGTGTAATAATAGATTGTAGATTGTTTGAACTGCAGTCATGTCTGGCACTTGTTAATATTGAGTGGAAGCCGTTTCAGTAAAATACTTATTTAGTTTCACTAAATAAATAAATTTTATTTTCAGTGAAGGGGCATATAAAGCCACTTTCTTGTTGATAATTTCACCACTTACGGTAACCTAAGTGGTAGCATGAAACCCAGTTTATCGCACCCCGGCTGCAATGCTTATGTACTAGAGGGGCATAGGTGAGCACATGTTGAATGGGTTTGAATCTTAAAGGGCACTTACCATCGCAGTAAAACTCACAGGGTAGTTCTTAACTCTGCTTGCCTCTTTATTTTGGAATAGTCGATTAATTGCCTTTTACTAATAATATTATGCAGTTCCCTTCCCCTCTTATGTGTCCTTAACCCATGACCATGAGGGTCCCTGGATTATTCAGTGGGCAAATAAAATAGACTGGAATTCCTAACTGGGTTTCCTTTTCTGTTTTACCTCCCATTAGACAAGACCATCATTATGTGGAAGCTCACCAGGGATGAGACCAACTATGGCATCCCACAGCGTGCTCTTCGTGGTCACTCCCACTTCGTTAGTGATGTAGTCATCTCCTCAGATGGCCAGTTTGCCCTCTCAGGCTCCTGGGATGGAACCCTGCGCCTCTGGGATCTCACAACGCAAGTAGCTGTTCACTTAGCTCTGGGGCCTTGGGAAGGAAGCTGGGTTTAATTAGTTGTGCAGAATTGCTGAGGCTTGCTCTAGTTAAGCAGTTTTTGTTTTGTTAAGGTAGTCCCTCTGGAAGGTGAAAAATATAAGACAGGTTTTGTTTTGTGGCTCTGTCTTTGAATGAGGTATACTAAAGAATCCTGGTGATGACAAGATGACATTGTCAGCTGATCCCCACATGGGAATGAGGACATGTCCTGCAATTCTGAAAGGATTCACTGACATTCTCAGTGGAGGGCCTGCTGACCTGCTGTGTTCTGGTTTATATGACTAATGCCACTCATTGGTATAGAACAGGCCAGGGAACCGCCTGGAAGAAGGCTTGCGAAGTTCTGTCTAGAGTGACCAAGTCCTTTCTCTTAGGGGCACCACCACCCGCCGATTTGTAGGCCATACCAAGGACGTTCTGAGTGTGGCCTTCTCCTCTGACAACCGGCAGATTGTCTCTGGCTCCCGAGATAAGACCATCAAGTTATGGAATACCCTGGGTGTATGTAAATACACTGTGCAGGTAAAGTAAAAGCGCATGTTGAAACTTCTTTCCCATCTTTACCTTTGCCCTTACTTGGTGATTGTATGTTTCGCCTGGAATCTAAAGATGTTTTGGTGCTCTTAAAGATTTGGGTTCTGTATGTGAATACACCCCATATAGCTGAGGGTGTGGGGTCATAGGATTTCTTGGTACAAGGCGGTTTCTCCATATTCCCTTTCTGTGTTGTAGGATGAGAGCCACTCGGAATGGGTTTCTTGCGTCCGCTTCTCACCCAACAGCAGCAATCCTATCATAGTCTCTTGTGGCTGGGACAAGCTGGTCAAGGTGAGCTTGAAGCTGAGGTATGGAGGCTGTACTGACCGGGATGTGTTCTCATTGTCTTCCATATGGTCATGGGTTCCCATTTGGAAAGTTTTGTCCCTTGATTTACCTTTTCTCTCTTGCTACTTTCTCAGTACAGGTCATTGGTTTTTGGTGTTTTGTCTAATTTAGCTAGTCAGCACACTTACTTGTCTATAAGGGCCAAAACAAGTTCCTTGACCTGTTATGATATTAAAATTTAAAAAGATGGGCCCTCCTGGTGGCGCAGCGGGTTAAAGCATAGCACTGAGACACAAAAGCCACTTTCACATGAGTTCGATCCCCGCCTGCCCAGGAGGTGACCACATGGCGTGGCAGACCTCTCCTGACCCAACCACTGCTCCCCTCAGCAGTGTACTTCGTCCATCTGCCTGTTCTGCTCCCCGCTTTGTCTCTGGTGAATCCTCTCACCCTCCGCATCTCTGGCCGGTACCCCAGTTCTGTATGCACAAACAAATAAAAATAAAAATCTTAAAAAAAAAAGTTGCCCCTTAAAATTTTTTTAAAAGACTACTATAGCCAGTAATGCTGTTAATTAAGCAAGGTGATGGGCCTTTGTGTTTCACTTGCTTTCTTAATCTAGTGGGTCAGGTATTTTAACTATGGACTCTGCCCTCAAACTTAGGTGTGGAACCTGGCAAATTGTAAACTGAAGACAAATCACATTGGCCACACGGGCTACCTGAACACTGTGACTGTCTCTCCAGATGGATCCTTGTGTGCTTCTGGAGGCAAGGTATTCAAGGGCAGGGGTCTTCTCTGGTGGGGAAAAGGGTGGGGGTGGGCATTGGGCAACGTGTCTTCAGAAAGAAACTTAAATGACATGGTGATCCAAAAATAGGTATTTCTGAAGGTCACTATGACAGTAGTATCAGTGTGGGATACTATTCCAGAGAAAAAGATCAAAGTTGGTTTCTTAAAGCTAATGATGTGATTAGAGCTTGTCCTCCCTCTCTTTCATAGAGTTGAAGTGTCAAACATTAAAGGACAGTAGATATAAACATTGTTATTTTGGAATAATTTTTCCTAGGAGTTAGGATGCTTTTGGAGTGTTTGGGAAATTAATGAATGAAAACAGTATTGAGATGGGGGAAGGGGTCATCAACTGCTGTGATAGAAGACATTGCCCCAACTCACCTTCCTTGTCTTCTCAGGATGGCCAGGCCATGCTGTGGGACCTCAATGAAGGCAAACACCTTTATACTCTGGATGGTGGAGACATCATCAATGCCCTGTGCTTCAGCCCCAACCGCTACTGGCTTTGTGCTGCCACAGGCCCCAGCATCAAGATCTGGGTGAGTGTAGGCAGCAGTGAGGCTGCTAAACTCTGCTAACCCTAGCAATGTTTTGATTTCTTCATATATCATCTGACTCGCTGCTGGGATTTGAGCTGCTTAGATGAATGCTCTCAGGCTGTCAGTAGAAACCCAGGAATAGTGAGTTAAAATTAATTAGTGTTGGCATTTGCGTGGTTTACAACTTAAGCATGGTTGAAGTTTTGGTCTAGAAAAATTTTGCTGGATAGGAGACATTCCCTGCATGTTTTTAGGCATTTAGCATCCTTGATATTCCCCACTAGATGCCTGTAGCAAACTCTTAGAAATGAATCCAAAATAACTCTAGCTAGGCAATCCCAAATGTGCCCTATGGAGTACATACTGTATACCCTGATGAGAATCACTTATAAAAAGGGGGTTTTTGGAGGGGATATGTTAGTCCTTGGTGTTGCTTTTAAGTGTCAGAAGTGTTAAACATTAATAGTGTCTATAACCCTAAGTTTTCCCTTTCCCCAGGATTTGGAGGGCAAGATCATTGTAGATGAACTGAAACAAGAAGTTATTAGTACCAGCAGCAAGGCAGAACCACCCCAGTGTACCTCTCTGGCCTGGTCTGCTGATGGCCAGGTAAGTACTTCTATGCCATGATGGTTTTCAGCTTTTCTGTCTTCCCTGATTTGTTCTTGATTATCTGGTCTGCTAGCTATAAGATCAGTGGCCTTAACTTAAATGACCTATAAGATCAGTGGCTTTAACTTAAATGACAAAATTAGGTGGGTTGATTAGGAAGATCTCTAGTGAAGCATCAAAAGGAAAGTTGTATTCCTAGAGGGCAGTAGCTACTTTATTTTGTTAACTTGACAAACTGATTTTTTAAAGAACCAGGTGATCAAAAGAGTGGGTATCTTACTTAATATAATATATATATCACATCGCTGTGGGGTGGTAGGGCAGGCTATAAGTTCCGAGCCTCTGACCTGATCTATCACTATCATTTCTCCCTTGCAGACACTGTTTGCTGGCTACACGGACAACCTGGTGCGAGTCTGGCAGGTGACCATCGGCACCCGCTAAAAATATATGGCAGAGTAAATAGAAATAAATTGGTTTTCTGGCTCTAAGCGTGCTTCTCTGATAAAGCAAAAATGCTCCTTCCTATAATAATGCTGCTTACAAGTTTAAAAGAAGTCTAACAGTGCAGTAAAATGCACACTGACCGGCAAGGCAGAAGGAAAAGGCTTTATTTGGAGAGAAGTGGGTGGGAGACTGCCTGTGTTTTCCTATACAGTTGGGCCAACATCAGGTGTGACTTATGGGAAGATACAGGATGGTTGACCAAGTTCGCTTGTTAAGTTTTTATGTATTGGGTAAAATGTCTGGACACCCTGAAAGTTGTTCTCAAGCAAAAGGGACTGATTAAAGTACTTACAGACCAATTCAGTCTTCTAAGGTCTGACTCTAACACATGACAGGTCATTTCCAAAGTTTAAGATTATATACAATTGAGAAGACTCAGAACCTCGCCGTTTAGGGTGTATATCTACATTTAAAGTGGTCTATGTTAAAAAAAAAATAGGTGTTCTTAAACATTAAGGCTAAGTGACTACTTTTTCTAATACTTGGACATTGTATGACATGGCCTGTGGCATCAATGAAAATGGTCAGCTGTCTAGAATAGCCAAGACGACTGGTAGCAGCTATGAACCCCCTACTTAAATGGATAATGGCAATGAGGTGTCTACTAGTGACAGTAATAAACTTTAGAAAAGGCATTGTCCTAGGCCCTGTAATTGTGAGCCTGTGTTGTGAAAATAGTTGGGGTATCCAGTCCTAGGACCTTGGAGCAGTAATAGAAGGCAGCAAATTCCAATCTGTTGAAACAGGATTGTGTCTGTTCCACCAGGTGTGACATATCTCATTTACTAGAAGGCCCTGACCCCCAAATTACACCCTGTTGTTTTAAAAGGATGACCTCCAAAAAGAAGCAAATAAACTTTATTTCCACAACACAACCCATCCTCCCTTTCCCCCAGGAACATAAATTGACCTCAGCCACCAGAGCAGAGGACAAAAGCTGATAAATGACAGAAGGCAAGGAGTTACTAGAAAAATAGATTATACCCAAAGCTCTCCTCTCAGGGATGCAAACCCCTGCACCCAGGCTCCTATTCAGGGCACACCAAATGGAGGGTCAACTAATGGCATGTGAAGAGGCTAGGAATTGACAAAACTCCACTGCAAGAGGGAAGGTCCTGGCAGTGAAAAGACTTGGGGGGTAAGGTGGGGTGAGCTTTGCTCCTAGATAGTGCTAGGAAAATGGAGGAAATAATTTATTGGGTGGTGTAATGGTATGTAGTTTCAATCATGTCGACCATTCCAGATCTCACTGAAGCTAAATTCTGGCCGGTCTGTGGAGGTAGAAATTGGGGATGGAAGGAAAGCTGAATCCCTCCTACTTCCCCAGGAGAGTAGACTTCCTTTATAACCCAGCTTTACCCTTTTGCCCAGCCTGCCTTCCTCCTGGCCCCAGAGGCTTCCAAATCCCTTAGTTGAAATGTGCATCAGAAAACAGAATTGGAATGGGGGCTGTCATGAGTCTCATTCAAACCCTCTGTCTTAGAACTGACATAAGAGAAACGGGGGTAGGGAAAGGAAGTTTAGTAATATCACAATCTCCCCTTTGCCCATTCTCAAACTCAGACCCCTGGGTAGACAGAGGGAAGAGCAGAAAGCTGTTGTCATCAGGGACCCATGCAGGCCTGTTGGGTAGATGCAGGTGAGAAGGCCAAGCTGGAGGCCAGGAGGTGTCTTTAGGCTCCTAAAGGTAAAAGCAGGGGGCCTAGGTCAAGGAGGGGGGGTAGGAAGCAACAAAGTAACAAACAGTGGGAGAAGCCTTTGAGCCCCCAAACTCAGGCCACCTTCCACCACCACCCACCCCCCAAGTGCTGACTAGAGGGGCCCTTGCAGGTGGCAGGATGATCAAGGGCAGAGTTTGATGCGGGTACCCTTAGAGAGCACCCGGAAGAAAGGGAAGACGCGCTCGCCCAGAAAGGCAGCTGAGAAGGTATGCACGTGGGCCAGAGTCTCTGCATTGTAGAAGCCCAGGCGCCCGGCCTCATAGTCCAGGTACACTCCAAAGCGCCGTGGTTTCTCACTTGGGCTCAGCAGCGTTTGCTCCGTTGAACTCTGTGCCTGATAGCGTTTGCCATTGGTGCCCACACACCACACTTCCCGCTGGAGTAAGGGCTGCTGGGGCAGATGGAGCCGGCGGCGGCGATGATGATGGCGTGAGGAGCTGGCATCCCCACTGCCCACAGAGGACCCCCCCGAGCCCACCTTCTCCTTATGATGGGTTGATTCACGGGCGGCGCCCACCGCCCAACCCCGCCGCCCACCCACCTCTACCTCCCAGTAGTGCCGGCCAGAGCGAAAGCCCTGGGCCCCCAGTACACAGCAGTCAGCTGAGAAGCGCTTGGGATGATCAGCAACCTCCTGCCGCCGCTCTGCCAGGCGAACCCCCCGGCGGTCAGGGGACAGCATCAGGGCAGGGTGAGCCGTGTCGGGGTCCAATGTCAGGTCCACTTGGGAGGAGGGAGGACAAATATACCAGGCCTGGAACAACTGGTCCCCTTGAGCTGCCAAAATTGAGGCTGGGCCTTTCTTGCTATCTTTCCCTTTGGCCCATTCTCCCCCACCCAGCCTGTCCTCAGCTTCCCAATCTCCTTACTAGAGGCCAGGCTCAGGTTCCTATGAACTTTACCTCCTCCCCCACTCACTTCCAAGGACACCAGTTGATCTTCCCTCTGGCTCCTAGCTGTTCCAGTCCCCCATACACAGACTCTAGAAGCTACTCTTCCCTTGAAGTCCCAGGTGACCCACCTCTATCCTGGTCCATCCCAACCTCATTCTTCCCCCAGGACTCAACTTCTCTGAAAATCCATTATCAGATTTGGGACAGAAAAGGAAGGATAAAGGATGATGCATACACGTCACCTCCCTACCTCGGGCAGCCTGACAGAACATCCGGCTCATTTTTCTCACGATGGCATCAGTCAGGAAGTCATGGCTATGGGGTTGACACGGGTCAGGGGACCAGACCTCTGGGGGTTGCAGTTGTACTTCTTCACACCTAGAGAAGGGGACCGGGCAGGGGGTGGGACCAGGATATTCCCAGAGGGGAGAGCAGAAGCTGAGGGGAAGGAGAAGAGGGTCCAGGAAGCAGAAACTCGGGTCCTGGGGAAGGAAGGAGAGGAGCGGGATACCCAAGAGAGGCAGGGATGGGAGACCAGATACCAATGGGTCACAAAGGATAAAGGGTGGGAACACACCTATTGAAAGTCTCCTTGATGTCCTGAGAATAACAAAAAGGGAGAGGGGGAAAAAGAGACAAAGAAAGAGTCAGCTGCACAGGGACCGTTCCTTTCTCCCAATCTGATTCCAGCCAGAGAAAAGACGGCACTTGAATAGGGAGAAAGAAAGACACCCTCATAGCACTCAATAAATGTGCATCCATCTGAGTAATTCCTATACCTCAGCAAGCCTAACTCCTCTCATTCTGCTAAGAGCCCACTACCAGAATTTTCGACCCCAGTAAAAGAATATTCACAGTATGATTTGGTCACTTTTTAAAAGATGTCACTGACAAGATTCTTCAGCCCTCATTTAAAACTCTTCTATAACTCACCCTTTATTTTCAGTGAGCATGATCATCACATGCCCACCTCATTTGGCATTAAGTCTATCTATAGCCTCAAAAAATCTTGGTCTTCAGGTTCTATCATTGTGGGTTACTTCCAGTGAGAAGAGAAGCAGTTCTTAACAGGTGGTGGTGAACACTGCCTGACAGACCAAACAAGGATTCTGGGGGGTAGACAGGGAAGGTGCTGCTCACCTGGAGCAATCGCAGGCCGCCCTGCTGGCTCCGCTCCTGGGCCTCAGCCAGCAGGCGGCTCAGCTGGGCAGCCTGTTCTGCAAGGCGGCTAGCTGCTGCTCCTGCACGCCCCAGCTGGGCTTCATGCATCTCTCTGAGGCGTCGTTCCAGCCCTGCCTGCTCTTCGGCCAGAAACCTTGTCAGTCGCCCAAACTCTGAGGCCACAGCTGCCAGTTCGGACTTCATCTGGCTCTGGGATAATGCAAAGGGTATTGAGGATAGCACCTCAACACACAGAAACAAACCTCCAATTTTGCAACCTCTGTCCCTCAATCCAAAAAATGGAGCCCCACATACCCCAATTCCAGGAAAGGCCTGGGAATGGCAAGAAGCCCTTTCCTTGCAGACACCGCTCTCCCCACACATTGATTCCAAACTCACCAACCTCTCTTCTGCCTGCAACACAACTTCAACCTGGGTATCTAACTTGACCCATTTCTCATGTCTAAGCTAAAATATTTCTTTAGAGAGAATATCTCCACATAACTCATTTTATCTCTTCATGGCGTATATTTTAAACTGAAATGTTATGTGTACATTAAATTATTTTTTAACATCCTTTCCCCCCTCTGCACCATAAGTTTCTTACCAACAGGGCAGAGTATATTTATTTGCCACAGGGTCTTCAGACCATGAAACAGCACCAACCACAGAGTAGGTACTTGGTAAAATAAAATTAAGTAAATTCGGGAATCAAGATATGAAGTTAGGGTCCTACTATAACACTAGAGACCTTGGAAAAGGGAGACCTCTTTCCACTCAGGTGAGGAGTTGGCCAGTTTTTTCTGCAAAGGGCCAGATAATATTTTCACTTTACCAGTTAAGAGGCAAAATCAAGGATGTTATTATATAGGTACATCTACAGATAATCAAAGAAAACCTCTGCCCACTCCCAACCATTTGTCTGGACTGCGTGATAATGGAGGGTGATTGTGTTTTGGTTTGGTTTGGTTTGGTTTTGGTTTGGACTGTCTGGATTATCAGACAGTCCTGGGACAAAGAGTGACAGGCCAAAGTGGAAAAGAAAGTCCTAGCTAATCACATGGGTGAAGGAAATAGTTTCATTCTCTGTCTCTCAGTGACACTCAGATCCTGGATACCACTGTACCCCGGAAGTGTCAACTTACAGAGTTAGCTGGAGGCAAGAGGATTCCCCAGTTCCCAGACTCAGATTGCATCATCAGTACCTGGCAGTAGCCAGCAATAAAGTCCCAAATGTGTATGTGATAATTTGGGCCCTAGGAAGTGGTAAGGTCCAGACACTGACTAGGGAGAATTGGAGAGTGTGGAGAAGAGGTTGGACAGAAGGTATGTCTTAACTTCATTACCAAAGCTCACAGAGTCAGACTACTTCAGTACCTACTTGTTTTACAAAAACAGGGAGTGGGTGAGGGTTGGGAATTAAGGAGGAATATATACATAAAATTCTCCTTGGAGAGGGGTAAGTAACAATAAAAAAGACTAAGAAACTCTAGAAGATGTTTAGCCCCTACGCTAACATTCACT